TCCCATTTTAGGTTGGGTCACTCTGGAAGCCAAAGTCATTTTTTTTTAAATCCCACAAGATGCGGAACTGAACCAACGACCTTCAGGTCCGAAGCGAGCGTTAGCCACTACACCACAGCGACTCGCCATAAAAACGAGTTGATTACTTTTTTTTGGGGGGGAGGAGGGGCAAGGGGGGGGTCTCTGTGGCGAAGTGGTCAAGCCGTTTGCCTCGCGTTCCGAAGGTCGTGGGTTCGTTTCACAGCGGCGACGTTTAGTTAACGAGTGCAATTTTCCCGAAGATCCCTGGAGATCATCGCCGGAGCTACGGAGGTCATGCTCTTTGCGGCGCTCTCGGCAGGCAGGCAGCTAGCTGTTCTGCAAGGAGAGAGACTGAGCCATATGGGATAAAACCTGGTGCACTGAAGTCGATCCTCTCGCTTTTACCCTTAGCTTTTGAATGGCAGCATAGAGACAGAAAGCTGTGGACAAACAGGGCGATTAACGCATCACGATCTGGAGTATAAGAAGCAACATAGACCCAATTCTGTTGCTCTAATTTGCGCTGGCTGCTGAAGATGAGGACGGAGCACGCATCTCAATGCCCCGAGTGATGTGATGTCAACTCTTGACTTAACTCAACTTTTGCTTCACTTGCAGAGCAGCCAGCAGCTCTCTCTCTCTCTCTCTCTCTCTCTCTCTCTCTCTCTCTCTCTCTCTCTCTCTCTCTCTCTCTCTCTCTCTCTCTCTCTCTCTCCTGGGAACCGTTGTGTCAGACAGTGACAAGAAACAGAGTGTGTATGAAGGTAACTGGAGGGCCAACGGCGAGCAGTAAACGGAAACTGTGAAAGTAAACAGACCAGATAGCTTGGCTACGTTGCGTCTGCTTCTGTAGTATCTGTTGGGATCTTTGCGCATTATAATTATCACAACTACTTATAACTTCGTAATGCCGGGGTGCCGGGTTAGATCCCAGCTGCGGGCCTTGCGTTGGTTTCGACAGTGGTATCGAGAAGCCGACCGTCCAGGAAGCAATGGCAAACTACTGGACGTAAATTTGCCTAGAAAAACCATAACAGCCAAAACAATGCTGGGTTTGGTTCTGCAACGTTCTGTAAAGGATACGCAACTAACCAACTTTAACTACTTATAATAATAATATTATAATAATATAATAATAATAATAACAACAACACATGTAGTAATAATACAATATCCTATTCGTCTTACTTTCTTCTTCAAATTCCATCATGCTTTTTTTTTTCCTATTTATTTTTATGTCCTGAATTCACTTTTTGTGCTTTCTTCTTTTATCTACCTCCTCTTTTATATAATTATCATCATCATTAACACTATAAATTTTATCATTATCACCATCTACACCATAGTAGTCATTATCATCTTTCTTTTCCTTTTCCTTCCTCAATTCAATCTTTGCTTTTAATTAGCTTTTTAATTAAAAATTTCTAAAATTCAAAGGTAATCAGGTAACCGCGGTTGTAAAATAGCAGTAAACGGGTCACTATGTAGCTGCTTAGTTCTATCGGGGTGAAAAATCACAGAATGACCATCGCTGACCATTGTGAAAAAAGAAACTGACACAGACTGCAGACTCAGCAAATCCAAAGCATGATGGCAGACATCAGTAGTGCCAAAGCTAACATGGCAACACCAGGAATGCAGTTCATCCTCGCTGTATCAAGTTGTTATAATTAATCGGCAAGAGACTAGCAACTTGGGGAGGATACTGGAAACTTTGGGAGGAGACTGGCAACTTGGGGAGGAAAATGGCAACTTGGGGAGGAGACGCAACTTGGGAAGGAAATTAGCAACTTGGGGAGAAGACAGGCACTTGGGGAGGACATTGGCAACTTGGAAATTGACAAACTTGGGGAGGAAATCTGCAACTTCGAGAGGAGTACGGCAACTTGGTGAGGAGACTATCAACAGTGGGAGGAGACTAGCAACTTAGAAAGGAGACTGGCAACTTGGGGAGCAGACTGGCAACCTTGAGAGGAGACTGGCAACTTGAGAAGGAAACTGGCAACTTGAGGATGAGACTGGCAATTTGGGGAGGAAATCTGAAACTTCGAGAGGAGACTGGCAATTTGGGGAAAACATTGGCAGCTTGGGGAGAGGACTGGCAACTTGAGAAAGAGACTGGCAACTTAAAGGGAGCAAACTGGCAAATTGGAGAGGCGACTGGCAACTTAGGGAGAAATCTGGCAGCTTGCGAATGAGCTTTGCAACTTGGGGAGAAAATTGGCAACTTGGAAATGAGATTAGCAACTTATGGAGGAGACTGCAACTTTATTGAGCAAATCTGCAACTTATTAAGGAGACTGGCAAATTGGGGAGGAAATCAGCCACATTGGAGAGGAAAGGAAATTTGCAATTTGGGGAGGAAAATTTGCAATCTGAGAGGAGACTGTCAACTTGGGAAGGAAAATGTGCATCTTGTAGAGAAGATTAGCAACTTGATAGGTGACAGACAACTTGGAGGAGGAGACTGGCAAATATGAGAAGACAGGCACCAGAGAACATTGTAATGACTCGCAACAACAAACCGAGAGAATGACGCTTTATGGGGAATCATATCAACAGAAACAGTTTAGGAAAATGTAGAGAGACATGAACGCCTACTAAAAGTATATACATGTGAAGAAGAAGAAAAAAATCTAATGGCCCACTGTTGTGTATACACCGCTTGTCTCTGCAGAAACACTTGCTCGACTGGACAACAACTGGTATCCAGGTTATGAAAAGGTAAAGGTAAAGTCGGGAGATGTGAACCAGTATCATTGCACACGATTATAAACCATAAGTGCTCTGCCACCAGTATGCAGGTTATGAGACAAAGAAGATGGCCACATAATGAGAAGAACACAAACCGGTAACCACTAAACATGCCCTTAGATTTAAAAGGGAAAGGGGGATAAGAGAACGTCCAAAAGAAAAGTGAAGGGCTAGATTCCATTCATCACATTGAAAGCACTTTCAAAGAATTTGGCACTGGTATCGGAACCAAACCACCAAAGTGACCCCACCCACCCACCCACCCACCCACCACCCACCCATTGAACCCAGCACACCACACACAATTTGGCACACACAACACACACACACACACCACACACACACACACACACACACACACACAAACGAATGGCGTGCGTAGCTGAGAAGGATAGAAAATTAATAGTCGAATAACAAAAGTATAAGTTATAGAGCTGGGGGAGGTGGGGATTGATTGCGAACCATGTGTGGTGTGTGTTCTCAAAGAACGGTGGTGATAGAAGTCAAAGATGCTGGACGATTGTCCATTCATGATAATGAAACAATAGCACAACTGCACCACAGACACCTTCCCCAAGTTGCCAATCTCCTCTCCAAGTTTCTTCCCCAAAAGTACCACAGGATGATGATGATCATGATGATAATGACGACGACGATGATGACGATGACTGAAGACACCCATGATCAAGATCTGTACAAAGATCTGTACTTCAATGTCATATCAGTATGGTATCTATCTTATATCAAAAGTGTAGGCCAGATGTACAAAGCTCGGAGACATGTTGTGTACACACTGCTTGGGGGCTATAGAAACATCTACCCTGGAAAAAGAATTAACAACATCTTCAGCTGACATCTGGCAAATCCAGATGTGGACCACACACATGCAGGCAGCACTAATCGGCAGGCTGATCTACCCAGGTGCTCGAGTGAAATAGCCATACGGTTAGTCTACTGGAGGGATCATCAGCTGGTTGTAACATTCAGAGAACACAAATCCATGATAAAATCGAACTGAGTCTGCGAAAATGTGGATACACAGTCAATACGCCGTATTTCGTGGAAACAAAAATAATCGAATACGGAAGGTTATGGAAAGACTAAGAATAAAAAGAGTTTTACTGAAAAAAGAGACAATAGAAACAATAAGGCTACAATGAAAGACACTACACTCTTCTAAATATCATACTGGAGGGAAAGGTCGAGGGCAAAAAAGCAACGGGTAGACAACGATGTAAGTGGGAGGACAACATCGTGAGTAGGACAAACAGTAGTCTGACTACAAAAAAAATAAAAGAATCAGAGTGTGTTGGAGATCCATTGTAGCCAATCTTTACAACGGGGACGGCACCTGATTGACTGAATGACTGATTGAGAAACTCATCGAAGATTTATAATTCAGCTGTGATACGATAATGATCACGCTGAACATGATTTTGTTTATAATAATGAAAATGGGTCAAGCCGTTCGCCCCGCGCTCTGAAAGTCCCGCGTTCATTTCGCAGACGCGCCGTTCAGTTCACAAATGTTGTTTTACGTAGATTGAAACAGACTGTCACTGGAGCTACGAAGTCCGTGCTTTGGACGATGCTTTCGGTAGATGGCTATCCGTTCTGCGGAAAGAGAGAGCCGTATGACATAAAACCTAGAGCAATGAAGTTGCTCCTCTCGATAACTCTCATAAACTTAATAATGATAATAATTACAATGATAAAGATGGTGGAATAATATAAACACAACTAAGGAAGAAAGAGAAAACGCTTGTGATCATGGTAGTTATTAAGGCGTTAATAATTATTAGTATAATGAAAATGCAGCGTTCCTTAGCTTAGGCATTGGGAATCCGACTCGTAATTCCAACGTACCACGATCGAAACCCACTGCTGGCTGCGTGGATTTTTATCATGGCATCGGGGGTCGCAGGTCGACCCAGCCTAAAATGGGTACAAGGATGTATGTCCTGGGGAAGTAAAGACGGCTGGCGTAACGCTGACCACATTACCCACCTTGCGCCGACTGGTCTGTAAAAATATGGGCGCTCTTCCATACATTTAACTTTTATAATGAAAATAATAATGATGATGCTTGCCACAACAATAACATATGAAGACGACACTGGTAGAGAAACACAAGACAGGACACATATTTTACTCAAGACATCAAATACCCAGCAAACAAAAGGAAGATTAACAACACAACACAAAACTACATGAAGCATATTTACCTGGCTAATCCGATTGTATCCATACTGCTTAAACCGTTCATCGTATAACGGAAGCGATGTCCGGGCGATATAAAACGGTTCCCAAATACTCCTTCTTTCCACCGTGTATCCAACAGAAAGAGGTCCCCCGGAGCTCAGAGCTCTCCACGCATCATAGTTTGTTGGCTGTTGGCACTGCTGGCATAGCTCCCAATAGAAAGGCCTCACACGCCCTTCCAACCATAACTGTAGCAGTTGTGTCTTATGTCTAGGGACTGGTTCAGAATGCTGAATTTCAAAAGCTGGGACCACAAAAGCGGACAATGACTGCTGTGTGTTCAGATATTGATCAGTAATACTAGTATTTAGATTGTGAACTAAACTTGGATTTGTGGACATGAACTGCTGAAATTCAGCTCGAAGATTGTCAGATGGCAAGAAATCGATATCAATCATGAATATATATGGTGTCTGAGCGTAATTAATGGCTAGGTTTCTTAGTAAGTTGTTCGGGTAATCTAAGTCTTCCTTTGCATAATTCGTACCATCTAAGGTTGTCTTGTTCGTAGCGTATGTCTGTCTATGGTCATGACAAGAAAGTCGCAACAACGCTAAACCGTCGAGGTGTTTCGGGGCACGACTGATTGGGTAAACTAAATGAAAGCTGACGTGGCGGTAGATGTGATCATTACAGAAATGAAAATGAACTAGACTAGAGATAGTATTGACAAAATCGTCGTCATATGTAAATACAGATACAGAAATAGGTCCGTTCCATCGTTCACTAAGTTCAGTCAGGTCATGCAGGTGACCAGAAGAACTCTGGGTAACAATGCTGACGTCATATTCACCCCGGCCTAGAATGACATGCTCCGAGGATAAAAAGTTGTCCAATACATAATAAGTCCCGCTTTTATCAAAGCGGTGAGAATTCTTTATCCTTTCTTCCATCTCTGATATAACGTTTTTGAACATCCTTCCCTGCAGTTGCCTGCCTACGGAGTTGCTTTCCTTCAATCTGGCCTCCTTTTCTTCCAGCCGCGAAAGCAAGGCAATATGAAGAATTTGCAGAAAAACACAATCACTAACACCAGAGAGGCCAAGAAAGGCCAAAAGCGCATCCTGTGAACAGGAAACATCCTGGAAAAACGCTTTCACTTTATTCAGCATGATCACTGTTTTCAAAGTACAACCTTCTATGTCTTGAACATGTCAAGGGCGGTTGGTTACCAAGACAACAAACACATCGTTGTTCTGTTTACGTCATCGTTTTACGTGTGAAACACATTATGTGGTTTACTGTGACGCCAGACGCACCACATCTGGCAGATCTTACTACGGAATCCGCTGATAATAAACAGTGTCTGGCTTCATATCAACTGATCACATTTCAACGTGAGGCCATAGAGCTTTCTCTCATCTGAAATATATTTAGAACAAGAAAGTTTTATCAACAAAGTGAATTTTCATAAAGGCATAGCATGTATATACAACATCATAAAAAGTAATATCTACAATGAACAGAGAAACAACAAGGTTAACAAGTTAAAGCTGAGAGGGTCAACCTCAGTGCACCGAGCTCTAGCCAATATGCTTCGGTCTCTAATCAGAACGCATAGATGCCTGTCAAGAAGCGTCCGCACAACGCACGAGAACTGTAACTCTGGCGACGATCCCCAAGGTTCTTCGTAACAAGTGAACTTCGGAAACCGAACGCCGCACCCGTGAAACGAACCTTAGATATTCAGACCGCGAGGCAAACGGCTTGACAATTTCACCAAGGAGACCGCCAAAGTAACAATCAGATGAAATGGCGTCAAACCGTCAGAACCAAACGTTTCCTATCTGATTTCCTTATCTGTTCAGTCGATGCTGCTTTTAGCAAAAGCAAAGCCTAAAACGGGTACCAGGTGATGATCAGGAAAGTCAACACGGCCATGGTGACGTTGATCCCATCACCGCTGAATGCTAATGGGTCAATAAATGTGAGAATAGTATGATATGCCCGTTGCGCTTTACTAGAGCTAAAAAAAAATTCTTTAGCGCTGACTTAGTTATCGAAAGTAGTCGTTGACTGGCTGACCGATTTTCTCTTAGGTTGTTAAATAAAGCTTGCTTATCTCAATAATCGGAAGAGCTACATCTTGCATGCAAATAGGACAAGTCCCAGATATCAAGTTCAACCTTCTAGAAAGTTATAATTGGGGCATTCGTCTGGGTTACAGCAAGTCTACCCTGACAAACCGTTTCCTAGGTGGGTAGGAAGTTAAAGACTGAAATTCAGTGAAACATTTCTTCTTCATATGAAAGAAGAAGAAGAAGAAGAAGAAGAAGAAGAAGAAGAAGAAAGAAGAAGAAGAAGAAGAAGAAGAAGAAGAAGAAGAAGAAGAAGAAAAGAAGAAGAAGAAGAAGAAGAAGAAGAAGAAGAAGAAGAAGAAGAAAAAGAATAATAAGTAAAGAATAAAAGAAGAAGAAGAGAAGAAGAGAAGAAGAAGAAGAAGAAGAAGAAGAAGAAGAAGAAGAAGAAGAAAGACGAGGAGGTGGAGAAGGAGGACAAGGAGGACGAGGAGGAACGAGAAGAAGAAAAGAAGAGAAGAAGAGAAGAAGAAGAAAGAAGAAGAAGAAGAAGAGAAGAAGAAGAAGAAGAAGAAGAAGAAGAAGAAGAAGAAGAGAGTAAGACGAAGAGAAGAAGACGAGAAGAAGAAGAAGAAGAAGAAGAAGAAGAAGAAGAAGAAGAAGAAGAAGAAGAAGAAAGAAGAAGAAGAAAGAAGAGAAGAAGAAGAAAGAAGAAGAAGAAGAAGAAGAAAAGAAGAAGAAGAAGAAGAAGAAGAAGAAGAAAGAAGAAGAAGAAGAAGAAGAAGAAGAAGAAGAAGAAAGAAGAAGAAGAAGAAGAAGAAGAAGAAGAAGAAGAAAGAAGAAGAAGAGAAGAAGAAGAAAGAAGAAGAAGAAGAAGAAGAAGAAAGAAGAAGAAGAAGAAGAAGAAGAAGAAGAAGAAGAAGAAGAAGAAGAAGAAGAAGAAGAAGAAGAAGAAGAAGAAGAAAGAAGAAGAAGAAGAAGAAGAAGAAGAAGAAGAAGAAGAAGAAGAAGAAGAAGAAGAAGAAGAAGAAGAAGAAGAAGAAGAAGAAGAAGAAGAAGAAGAAGAAGAAGAAAGAAGAAGAAGAAGAAGAAGAAGAAGAAGAAGAAGAAGAGAAGAAGAAGAAGAAGAAGAAGAAGAAGAAGAAGAAGAAGAAGAAGAAGAAGAAGAAGAAGAAGAAGAAGAAGAAGAAGAAGAAGAAGAAGAAGAAGAAGAAGAAGAAGAAGAAGAAGAAGAAGAAGAAGAAGAAGAAGAAGAAGAAGAAGAAGAAGAAGAAGAAGAAGAAAGAAGAAGAAGAAGAAGAAGAAGAAGAAGAAAGAAGAAGAAGAAGAAGAAGAAGAAGAAGAAGAAGAAGAAGTAAGAAGAAGGAAGAAGAAGAAAGAAGAAGAAGAGAAGAAGAAGAAGAAGAAGAGAAGAAGAAGAAGAAGAGAAGAAGAAGAAGAAGAAGAAGAAGAAGAAGAAGAAGAAGAAGAAGAAGAAGAAGAAGAAGAAGAAGAAGAAGAAGAAGAAGAAGAAGAAGAAGAAGAAGGAAGAAGAAGAAGAAGAGAAGAAGAAGAAGAAGAAGAAGAAGAAGAAGAAGAAGAAGAAGAAGAAGAAGAAGAAGAAGAAGAAGAAGAAGAAGAAGAAGAAGAAGAAGAAGAAGAAGAAGAAGAAGAAGAAGAAGAAGAAGAAGAAGAAGAAGAAGAAGAAGAAGAAGAAGAAGAAGAAGAAGAAGAAGAAGAAGAAGAAGAAGAAGAAGAAGAAGAAGAAGAAGAAGAAGAAGAAGAAGAAGAAGAAGAAGAAGAAGAAGAAGAAGAAGAAGAAGAAGAAGAAGAAGAAGAAGAGGCGCATAAAAAGGCTGCACATACCCACAGTATTCCTGTCACATTTAAACTCCTAGATAAGCCAACAAACTGCTATCTTCCAATATCGTACTAAAAACTTATAATGTAAGAACTAATACAGACCAGTTTTTTCCCCGCTGAACACTCGGATGCACACGTGATTGCACAAAAAGAAAAACACTGCTCTCTGCAACACTGTTAACTCCAGAATAATCAAAACAAACTCTTACATTCGTCACTTTCTCCACAGCATCGCCAACATGCGCACTCATCCACTACAAATATATGCAACTTTCAAGACATCATTTACTCCCATCCCCACCACAACGCTCTAATTCTGACACGTCACCCTGCGCTCTAACATTTTGCGCTCTCGCTCTTCAGCTCGCGAACTCTTCCATTTACTGACTCACTCGCCTACTTTGCATTCTACAGCCAGAATAATTCCGACAATGGGCCGATCGCTCGCTGATTCGTCAGATTTGATTGGTCTTGTCGGTGAATTATGATGACAATAAATTATCTTTCCGTAATATGATCTTTCGCTTCGTTTAACCGGCGCCATCAATTATTTATCTGCAGACACGGATAATAAACTTTAGCACTGAATAGTTTACACTGGGTTAAATTATTTGTTTGGGGCTAGTAATAGTTGGGGCTGTTATTTCTTATGTCTTTGCCTGTTTTTGTTTTAACCATTTGTTCCTTGACTGCTGCAGAACCTCTTTAAGGTTTAAGAATTAAACAACAGATGTACATCATGGCATAAGGGTAGTAACCCATAAGTGCTCCGTTCTACTTTTTAAACTCAAGTCTGAGTCCGAGGTTTCTCAGCGCAGAGCACGAACGCCGTTGCACCGGCGAGGATCCTGAAATACTTTGGGTAGATTTTTAACTGCAAATTTTGCTCAGGCAGCGCCGTTAGGCTTCTCTTTTCGATTTCCAACATGCCAATGGATTTTTTTTAATGTGCGAAACAGTACACACGGGCGTCCGATCTTACTACCCACAGACCAGAGGAAATTACTAGAGGTCCACGTAAAAAAAAATTATAGACCCTCACCAGGGCTTGAATTAGGGACCTCAAGCACTGAGAGGGACGCATTTCCACTGAGATCACGCAGTCGCCCCCCCCCCCCTCACCCTTCTTATTTTGTAGAACCTCCTCGAGCTAAAGCAGTTGCGAGGAGGTGCATGTAGCACCTGTAATCCCCATGTACACTTTCCACTGCCAAAGAAAAATAATTTTTACTATTTATTACAAATAGTTCAACACCTTTGGGAGTCGCCGTGGTGGAGCGGCTAGACGCTCGTCGCGGATCGCAATGTCGTGGGTTCTCTTCCTGGCGGAGCCAGACTTTTTTTTTTTTTTTTTCAAAAAATGCCTTGGCTGCCAGATCAACCCAGCATTGAATGGGTACCGGGTGCTGTCTCAGGAAGTAAAGGCGGCCGACGCGATGCTGACCACATCACCAATTTTGTGCCAATTGGTGTATAAAATATAGTTCTAGCCCTAGACGCCTAAAGGTGTAGAAAAGGGTCCTTTTAATTTAGTTCAACGTCTTGAACATAGTGAAATGAACCCTGGCTTCATGCTTATGCCACTAACGCAGAAACTGTAAAGTGTGAAAGCTACCCGTTATAAGCAGGGCTGCCGAAGTTGGTGCTTTCTTCTACATGTAGTACTACTTGACCCTTGCCGATCAAAATTGTACTTCTGGCACCACGCCCGAATATTTTTTTAAACCTTTAAGAAATGTTGCACTAATAAGTTTAATTGTTGTGTGTTTTACGCTAGATTCAACAAGCGTTATACAAGAAAGGCCGGCGTCAATTACACGCATATTCCCGGCCTTGTTATAGAAGAAGACTGGACAAATATATGAAGAATGTAAGGACAGTCCACGGTATTCGCAACATACTTTTCAACAGCCACATCTCAATTGCCTCCAAACTATTCTTAATTTGTTCGCTTACATTACACGATTCACTGCCATACACCAGAACAGGTTCGATATAACATTTCAGTATTCAGGTTTGTAATACTAAATTTGGCCTGCAAATTAAAAAAAACAAAATCTTTCCACTGCCGTGCTAAAATAACTGTAACCGCCTGCATTTACCACGTTTTAGGGATGCGTAGCATGAGCATTTAGGTTCACATGGCTAGATCAGTCTCCACGAACTATGCAGGTTTTTTTTTTTTTTTTGTGGTGTGTTTTTAAATCAGATTTGCATTCGGTAGGATTAAAAACTCAAGGAGTGAAATCAAC